CCGGGCGGCGGCCACAAGGGCGGTGTCGGCAATGCGCACCCCGTGATGGACCTGGTTCCCCCCCCTTAAGATCTCCGCTTCTTAGAACGAATGCACACGATCGACCGTTCCGTCCCCCCCGCGCCCCGTCCCACCCTACCCGGAGGAGGGGGGGGGACAGACCCCCCCTGTTGGGCCAGGTACTGCGCCATGACGCTGTCGTCAACGACAACCGGGCCTTGTCGAGGGGGGTACCCTCCTCCTTGTGTCGGGTACATGACCATGGGCGACGGGGCAGTGGGATGGGATGGGGGGTGCGTTGGTTGTGCAATAGTGTACGCCATCTGGGCGGCGGGGATAGTAGATTGATGACTTGTGCTTGCGTGGGAATTCCCTCCGGTAGGGGGACCTGACAGTACCGTGGCTTCGGGTATATCGTTCAGGTCTTGATCTGGCGCGATGACCCCGGATGGGCGGGGATGACGGCCACCGTTCATGCGTGACGCTTTTTCGAGGAAGGGGGGAGGGGAAAGTATGTATGGTCGTCTGTGTGGTCGGAACCCCCGCCCGTGGGAGAATGGTACAAGACTGTGGCGTAGAGGGAGGACAGTGAAGGGTTAGCACACACTCGTGCATGTGTCTACGTCCATACACAGCCAGTGACAGGCCATGCGCCAGCACTTTTTATGGCAAGCCTTATTTTTCCGTGGGCGGAACCTGCCCCCGTCCTCGCTACCTCCCGCGCCGCCCGTGCTTTCCCCCATTGCCTTGTCACTTGGCATGTGCCTTGTGACCCAGTAACCACGGCGATACTCATGTTTGCGACGCTCACAAGACTAGCATCGTTGCCGTGCGGAGCATTGTGTCTGACGATGTGACGGTGGAAGGTGCTTGTGGTCGGCGCTTGACCACTTTCAGGGTAGGTTGCCGGCCAATGCTCTTTTAACCTCCTCCCTCTGGAATACTAGCCACAAACTGCTCAATGGGGGAAAAAAAACTTGTGCGAACCTGATCATCTTCACAATGTTCAGGTGATTTTTATGGTTCCTTCCACTTCTGATTTTCTACATTCTCTTCAAATATTTTTCGAAGTGCTGGAACGGGTAAAGTGTTGATCATTTAAAAAAAATCACAGCCAACATCAACATAGTGCAGCTGGAATGGAAGATGAGAAAGAAAGACTGGGTTATGCCTCCTCAAATCTATCATATCGCCATCCGTCTCGTGGAACCTAAGTGATCAAAATACAAGGAGTAGTGGAAAGAAATGATCAATCCCCCGGCGATGGCCGTACAACCGCCTACGAAGAAGTCGTCAGCACATTGACAGGGTTACCACCGTTTCTTTTCGAAAACGTCAACAAGAACCAAGACAAAGATTTTCCTCACCATATGTGTCCATCCCCCCCGCCCTTAAGCTCCTTTTCACCTCCCTTTCGGAGGGGCCTCGACCAAACAAAGGTCACTCGGTAGCACCTTTTTGCCCCCAGCTCCTCGACGCATGACAATCCTGTACACTCTCCTGCTTTGTAAATTCTACCCTCTATCGAGACCTTTATCCCTCCCTTCCTGTCGGCTTCCTCCTTCCACAAGCTTCCTTGCCACGCCCCTCGCGGCAGTGAGGTCCTTTAAATCTTTCCTCCCTCCTTCCCTCCATCTGTCCCTCCCTCGTTTTTCCCTCTTCAGTATCTATGCAGC